TTGTTGACCCACTCTTGGTCACACCATTTTCATCATAACCAAGTATTCAGCCTTTTTTAATTGATGTCACGTGAAACCATGTACAGGAAGGTGTAAAAAAAAAAAAAAAAAGGAAAAATGTACTGCAATCTTCGTTTGGCCATAAAGAAAAATGTAGGGGAGGCGGTCTAAATCCAAGTCCCTCTGCCACGTGGATCCCCATTTATTGTTCCACTCATAAAATCACGTCAAGCTTTATTCTATGATGCAGTCAGTTTTTTCTTCATAAATTTAACATTTAACACAATTTTAATTATTATTATTACTCGCAGGCTATAATTTCCACTTCTTCTCAACATCACTCTTGCTCTGTTTTCTTTGATTAGAAAATAATGGTTTTAATGAAATTGGACCTTCTTAATTTGCAGGTTGACGTTCATCTCTTGGATGAATTGGCTCTGATCTTCATTTGTGTACAGCAAATATGGCACAGCCAAATTACATTAATGTCCTCATTTGTTCAAAACTTGAGAAAATTGATTGTATGGTCCTGTAATAATTTGGAATATCTCTTCACATCATCGATGGTTGAAAGTTTCAAGCAACTTGAAGCACTCGAGATTTCGAGATGTAAGGAGATGCAAGTGGTAATACTAATAGAAGAATTGGTAGAAAAAGAAAAGACAAGCCAGACAATGTTTCCCAAACTAGACAACTTACAGCTCGTTGACCTTCAGCAACTCATAAGATTTTGCTCCAATTGCATTTCTTTTGGAGAAGTATATGAAGCTCAAGAATTCAGTGGTAGTGGATCACAAGTAGTTGCAGCCGCACAATCAAAGTTGGTCGAAACAGATGTCACTCGGCTTGTATTTCCTCGAGTAACATACCTGGAACTTCGTCGTCTACCCAATTTCAAGGGTTTCTTCCCTAAAATCCACATCACAAAATGGCCATTGTTGAAAAGAATGCTTGTGGAACAATGTGACAAGGTGAAGACATTTGCTTCAGAATTTCCAAGCATTGAAATAACATTTGGAGACAACCAACTTGAAAGGCAAACTCAAGATCCTATGTTTTGGATTGGCAAGGTACGATCACCAAATGGGAAAAAATAATTGCATGTAGCTTATACGAATCATTTTTTCCTTAAATTCAAGAAGGAAAAAGTAGGAAAACTAAATCAAAATAAAATCAATCAAGGCTTACCTTCTTCTCTTTTGATCTTTTCTAAATTTTGTTTTATTTTTATTTTATCTAAAAGTGACTTTTCTCTCATTTTTTTTATTTGCTATGGAAATCTTTGGGAACTAAAATTTTTCATATGAAAAATTCAGTCGCCTGATATTATTTAACTTGAATACATATTTGTTGGGTTTGGTATATTGCAATGCAATGTGGTTTCCTACTATTTAATTTAGCATTTGAACACTTTAACGTAATATGATATCTTCCTATTAATTTTATGAAGCCAATCAAATTATAATATTTGTAAAAAACTTTGATTAGTTCTTTTTTTTTTTCTCTAATGGAAGGTTCTTGTAAATGTGTATTGCCATTAGGTAAATGTTGGCTTGGGTTTAAGTTTTGACAAGTGATATATAACTGCCTTTTCTTGAAGTATAGAAATCATTTTTTTTACTTGTTTAGAGTTCAGGCTAATCAATTTGGCAGATGTTTCAAAAAAATAGCGCAAATGCAACTTGTTAGTAAGCATAGGTTAGTTAACTCACATATAAATAGTTCTTAATATAGTCAAGACATAATATAAATAGAATATAGATAGGTGTGAAACATTTTTAGACATGAAAGTATCTCATATCAATATGACATATCACAGTGCCACTTTAAATAACATGTTTAATCACATGCCAGAGGTAGTCATAACATACCCCCAACTGCACAATGGTCCAAAAACACACACT